CAGCAGTACATCAATAGGGAACTGCCAGAAATTCAAGGTGGATTCAGAAGAGAACATGAAATGAGGGATATCACTGCTGAAGTCAGATGGATCTTGGCTGAAAGCAAAGGATACCAGGAAGATGTTTACCTGTATTTTATTGACAATGTAAAGTTGTTCAACTACATTGGTTGTAATAAATTATGGATAGCATTGTGAAGAATGGGAATTCCAGAACACTTAACTGTATTCATGCAGAACCTGTACATAGACAAAGAGGCAGTCATTTGAACAGAACAAGGGGATACTGTGTGGTTTAAAATCAGGAAAGATGTGTTAGGGTTGTAACTTTCACCATACATGTTCAGTCTGTATGCTAAGCTAATAATCCAAGAAGCTGGACAATATGAAAGAGATCACAGCATCAGGTTTGGAGGAAGACTCATCAACAAGATGTGCAAATGATGCAGCCTTGCTTGCTGAAAGTGAAGATGACTTGAAGCACTTACTGATGAAAATCAAAGACTACAGCCTTCAGTATGGGTAACACCTCAACAAAAAGAAAACAAAAAGCCTCACAAATGGACCAATAAGCAACATCATGATAAATGGAGAAAATATTGAAGTTGTCAAGGATTTCATTTTACTTGGATCCACAATCTATGCCCGTGGAAGCAGCAGTCAAGAAATCAAACATTGTATTGCACTGGGAAAATCTGCTGCAAAAGACCTCTTTAAAGTGCTAAAGAGTAAAGATGTCACTTTGAGGACTAAGGTGCACCTGACCTAAGCCATGGTATTTTCAGTCACTTCATATGCATACAAAAGCTGGACTACACATAAGGAAGACCAAAGAAGAATGGACGCATTTGAATTGTGGCATTGGCAAAGAATATTAAATATCCCATAGACTGCCAGAAGAATGAACAAATCTGTCTTGGAAGAATAAAGCCAGAATGTCCCCTTATCACAAGGATTGCACAACTACATCTCATGTACTTTGTGCATGTTATCAAGAGGGACAAATCCCTGGGGAAGGATACCATGCTTGGTAAAGTAGAGTGTCAGTGAAAAAGAGGAAGACCCAGAACGAGATGGATTGACACAGTGGCTGCAAAAGGGCAAAGAGAATGGTGCGGGACTAGGCAGTGTTTCATTCTGTTGTACACAGAGCCAGTGTGAATTGGAACTGACTGGAAGGCAACTAACAAATATGGAGAAACAGAATGATGAAATGAAGCAACTATGGTAAAATGTTAATATTTGGAGAATCTGGATGAAGGGTTACAATTCTTCATATAACTTTACAATTCTTCTGTAAGGCTGAAATATTTCAAAATTAAAAGTTAAAAGTAAAATATATACTGTGCACTGATTTGATTAGATTATGAAATTGTGGATAATTCTCATTTAAATTTCGATAGTTAGTTTAATAAAATTCTTTCCATAAAGAAATTTCACTTTTAAAAAAATAAAAGGAAAGAAATCGTCTTGGAGGTGTCTGCATTCTTTTCATTTTCCCATCTCAGCCCAGGCCCAACCAGAGGCAACTATTGTTTGTTGTAATCAATTCCAAACTGATCTCCACCCATTCCATCTCTCCCAGTACAGTCCATCCTGCCCACAGCTGGCAGGTTACTCTTTTGTTCCAAAACTATCCTATTTTCCCACAGTCCAACCAAGTAATTTAAACTCCTCCCTTTTGCTTTGAAGGCCCCTAATAATCTGGCCCAAAATTGGGTCTTCCTTCTCCCCAACCCTAAACCAGAGTCTGACTAGCCCATATATGGTTCTAGAAAGAACGCTGATTTCAACAAGTCAAAGGAAAATTGGCAAAGGAAAATTTCCCTTAGTAGCAAGAAATTTTGTTGTTTTCAATCTTACTTAAAACTCAGATTTTTCTAGATTGACTCTCTGTGTCCTATCTATCCACATACAGTTTCCACTATCATTATTTCTGGCAATTAATTTATTCCTCTAATATCATCTAAGATGCTAGAGAAGGCCATTTGATTCATATATATAATTCTCTTTAGCAATGGTGTCCAAAACAGCTTTAAAAATCAGTTGCTGTTGAATTGATTCCAACTCATGGTGATCCCATGTGTGTCAGAGTAGAACTCAACTCCAGAGGGTTCAGTGACTGATTTTTTGGAAGTAGATCACGGTGTCTTTCTTCTGAGATGCCTTTGGGTGGACTCGAACCTCCAACCTTTCAGTTAGCAGCTGAGCATGTTAACCTTTTGCACCACGTGGAGAGACTGCAAAACAGCTTTCCTGCAGATGAAATCATATTAAGTATCGTAAAATAAATCTTCCTTCCTATGGGTCTTTGTTCACTGGAGTTCATGAAGAGTCAAAACATGTACTATAATACTCATTACCACTCACACCTAGAGGAATGTTATGCCTTCCCTCCACCACTCACAACCTATTCTTGAGTCCTTCTCAGAGCCTTCTTTGCCTATGGAAACTGCCTGTGACTCCAACCCACATCAGTCTTACCCATGATGCTGCCTTGTTCTGCTCTTTCATTGTACAGCCCTCTCTCCAACCAGATAAACCCATTGAAGGCAGAAATCTGGTCTGTCTTCTGTGAGTCTGTTTTGTGCAGAGCACAAAGCTAGCCCCATAGTTCTCCAGCTATTTGGACAGTGTTTTATTTCTTAGCCTAATTGATGTCCATAATATTGTTCCTTAATTTTTTTTCATATGTGAAATATTTCATAATTATTAAAGTAGCAAATAACAACCACAGGGAGCATGCTCATCCCATAAAATGATGTGGAAAGGAGAAAGAAACAGAATTGGGTACATACTCTACTCCCAATTTTGTAGGAAGAGAACAAATCAAAAACTATATAGAGAGACTAAGTTAAAAAAAAAAAAAAAAAAGCATATAATACACCAGCATTTTATTGTCTTCTTTATACTTAAATACTTTATTATCATTTCTAATCTTTTTATAGAGAGTACATATTGTTTGTGGAATAATAATCAAATATCGCTTTAGTTTTCTAAGATGTACTTGTTCACCCTAAATACCTGGGTATGGTAAAATTCAGCCTGAAATCAGGAGAAAAAGATTTGTTCAGCTTCTACTGCAGGCAACCTTTGTACTAGACCTTGGAGGAACTGTTCAAGTAAATATACCACATCAAACTCAGAGTCTGACAGGTCCAAGTTCAAGTCTCAGCTTCATCCTTTCCTAAGAGTTGACTTGAGTCTCAATTTTATTATGTGTAAATGGTAATAAAAGTACCTTTCCTGCTTGCCTCATGGGGCCACCATGAGGGTAAAATGAAATGAGGCCCATAGAATGGCTTCAGAAACCACAGCACACCCTTCTGCACACAAGCTATGTCTCACAAGATGCTAGCACCAAAAGGGTGCAAAAGCTGCGGTCCCTGCTTTCAAGGTGCCCAAAGTGTCAGAGGACAGACAGCACTGTCAGAGGACAATCCAGGACAGACCAACAGACAAAAGAGCAGCTAACCATGCAGTATAGAGAGTGGGACATGATTGACCACGGCCTGGGGAGTGCAGGAGTGGGATCCAAGTGGCAGGGAGTCATATTATCACTAAGTAACTAGAAGGGATAGGCTTTGCCCTTCAGTAATACAAAATGTGCTGCCAGCAACTGAGCATACACATCTCAGACAACAGGCAGGCGGAAATGTATTGCAGAAAGAGTTCGGGCTTGGGAGCGGTTGACTTAGCTTTGAATCCTGGTGCCCTCCCTTCCTAGCTAAGTGTCTGTGACCATGGGCAGGCTTTCCTCATTTGTGTCATAGGGAGAAGTGGTGGGTCTTGTAGGCTCTGCTGGAAGGATTGATTGAGCCATCGGTTTGGTATTGAGCACCTGCCCTGGGCCAGACAGTATTCTAGGAGCTGGGGATACAAGAGGGACCCAAAGAGACAAGTTGCTGCCATCATAATGTCTTACTCTCTAAAGGAGGTAATAAAGGTCAGCGACTCCGCATGGTGCCCAACATGTCGCAGCCAGCCATTAAATGACTACGAGGGTGGCCTGGAGAGAGCTTGGGAGAGGTAGTGAGAGTTTTCAGATAGTGGAAGAGTTGGTGGGGGAATAACATAATGCAGAACTATGAGAGCACCAGTGAAACTGACATATACTAAGTGCCTATGACATAAGACCTTCACTGTAATGACTCATTCCATCCTCACAGCAATCCCATGGAGTGGCTCCTATTATCATTCTCATTTTCCTCAGATGAGGAAACTGAGGCACAGAGCAATGTAGTCACCTGTCCAAGGTTGCACAAGTGGTAAAGCCAGGACTGAAACCAACTGGTTTGTTCCCTTCTACTGCACAAGAAGCCCTGGTGGTGCAACAGCTAAGCACTCGGCTGCTAACCAAAAAGCGGTTCAAATCTACCAGCCACTCCACAGGAGAAAAGACCTGGCAATCTGCTTCCACAAAAATTACAGCCTAGTGCTTATGCACAGGGAGGCAGCTCGGGGGGGCAGGAGTGCATGGAGGGATGGACACTGGGAAGGGTAACTACAGGGAGGAGGTGGGAGGGGAGCTGTTGCATTGTGGTAAACTGTGGTCAATGTCATGAGACAAAGTGTATGTGAACTGCTATATGGAAAGTAAATCTTCTCTGTAAATCTTCACCCAAATCACAATTAAAAAAAAAAAAAAAGAAAATGAGCTAAAAAATTACAGCCTAGGAAACTAAGGGGAAATTCTACTCTGTCTTAAAGGGTTGCTAGGAATCGGAATCGACTCAATGGCACATAACCACAACAACACTGTTCAGATTGGTGGATTTCCCAGGCAAGCTAATTTTAAGAGTTTGGAGCTTCCTTTGAAAGTCAAAGTACTGACATGTAGGGTGTTTGAGCTGCAGCAGGATGGCTGTCTGTGATAGCATCTTTGTGGGGATTCCTGGTGATGTTAGATGAGTGAGTCTTTCTACAGGACAGACAGTCCCTGGAGCCTAGGTGGTGGTGCTCTTGGACACTAATGAGTGGTTTCCTCTTGTCTCTTTCAGCTCACGGCCCCACACTTCCCCGTGGTGATCAAGCTGGGACATGCCCACGCTGGAATGGGAAAGGTAAGAGAAAAACTCTTATGTCCACATTGGGTGCTCGGCTTCCCCAGACTATGTGCTGCCTTCTCCATTCATTTCACTGCCACCCCCACCCTTAGTCCAGCCACCCAAAACAGTATGAACCAGTCCAGGATGTAGCTCTCTTCCTTGTCCAGACTACCTTTCTGTGAGGTCCCGAAGCTTGGATCATCTCTCCAGCTATCCCTGTATTTACCTAATCCTACCTGGAATTGTATCTGATTGTTTCCTTTGATTGTAGCTAAAGAGAAATGGATATAAAACATTTTTGTAGAGGATGATGCTTTTGTCACGAGTTGCTGTTATCATCACCCCCACAGCAACATTGTAGCTCATGTCTTACTCAACTTTGTATCAACTGCAGGGCTAGCACCTAGAAAATGATAAATACATATGGCCCCATGGTGAAAGCCCCTGGGATCAGTTAGCTTCTGCAAAAGTAAATAATAAATTTGACATTGTCACAGTGACATGCCCTGACAAACAATATAGTTCAAACTCTTCCAGTTGCAAGTAGATAACCAACTCAAATAAATTTGTTGTTGTTATTGTTGTTAGGTGACAACAATCAGCTCCAACTCATAGCAACCCTATATACAACAGAATGAAACACTGCCCAGCCGTGTACCATCCTCACAATCCTTGCTATACTTGAGCCTATCGTAGCAGTCACTGTGTCAATCCATCTTGTTGAGGGTCTTCCCCTTTTTTGCTGACCCTTTACTTTACCAAGCATGATCTCCTTCTCAAGGAATGGTTCCTTAAGCCAACATGACCAAAGTAGGTGATACAAAGTCTGGCCATTCTTGCTCCCAAGGACATTCTGGCTTCACTTCCTCAAGGCCGCATTTGTTTGTTCTTCTGGCAGTCAATGGTATTTACAGGATTCTTGGCCAACAGCATAATTCAAAGTTATCAACTCTACTTTAGTCTTCCTTGTTCATTGTCCAGTTTTCACATGCAAATTTGGTGGTTGGGTCAGGCACACCTTAGTTCTCAAAGCGACATCTTTGCTTTTCAACATTTTAAAGAGGTCTTTTGCAGCAGATTTACCCAGTGTAATATGATGTCCGATTTCTTGACTTCTGCTACCGTGGGTGTTGATTATGGATCCAAGTTAAATGAAATCTTTGACAACTTCAATCTTTTCTCCATTTACCATGATGCTGCTTATTGGTCTAGTTGTGAGAATTTTCATTTTCTTTATGTTGAGGTGTAATCCATACTACAGACTGTAGTCTTTAATCTTCATTAGAAAGTACTCAAGTCATCTTCACTTTCAGCAAGCAGGGTTGTATCATCTCCATATTGCAGGTTGTTAATGAGTCTTCCTCCAATCCTGATGCCATATTCTTCTTCATATACAGCTTCTCAGATTATTTGCTCAGCATACAGACTGAATAAGTATGGTGAAAAGATACAACCCTGACGCATTCTCTTCCTGATTTTAAACCATGCAGTATCCCCTTGCTCTGTTGAAACAACAGCCTCTTGGACTATGTACAGGTTCCTCATGAATGCAATTAAGTGTTCTGAAATTCCTATTCTTCTCAATGTTATCCGTAACTTGTTATGATCCACACAGTTGAATGCTTTTGTGTAGTCAATAAAACACAAGTAAACATCTTTCTGGTATTCTTTGCTTCAGCTGAGATCCATCTGATATCAGCAATGATATTCCTCAGTCCACGACCTCTTCTGAATCCAGCTTGCATTTCTGGAAGTTCTCTGTCAGTATACTGCTGCAACCACTTTTGAATTATCTTCAGCAACATTTTACTTGTGTGTGATATTAATGATATTGTTCAATAATTTCCACATTCTGTGGAATCACCTTTCTTTGGAATGGGTACAAATATGAGCTTCTTCCAATCAGTTGGCCAGGTAGCTGTCTTCCAAATTACTTGGCATAGACAAGTAAGTGCTTCCAACACTGCGTCCATTTGTTGAAAGATCTCAAGGGGTATTCCATCATTTCCTGATGCTTTGTTTTTTGCCAATTCCTTCAGTGCGGCTTTGACTTCTTCTTTTTTCAATATCATTAGTTCTTGATCATATACCCACCTCCTGAAATAGTTGAACAGGGACCAATTCTTTTTTGCACAGTTACTGTGCATTCCTTCCATCTTCTTTTGATGCTTCCTGTGTCATTCAGTATTTTGCCCATGGAAAACTTCAATATTGCAATTCAAGGCTTGATTTTTTTTTCTTCAGTTCTTTCAGCTTGAGAAATGTGAGTGTGTTCTTCCCTTTTGGTTTTCTAACTCCAGATCTTTGCATATTTCATTATAACTGACTTTGTCTTCTTGGGCTGCTCTTTGAAATTTTCTGTTAAACTCTTTTATCTTGTCATTTCATCCATTTGCTTTAGCTACTCTCCGTTAAGAGCAAGAGTCTCTTCTGACATCCATTTTGGTCCTTTCTTCCTTTTCTGTCTTTTTAATGACCTTTCGCTTTCTTCATTGATCATGTTCTTGATGTCATCCCAAAACTTGTCTGGTTTTCAGTCATTGGTGTCCAAAGTGTCAAAGCTATTCTACAGATGGTCTCTAAATTCAGGTGGGATAAAATCAGGGTCATATTTTGGCTCTCATGGACTTGTTTTAATTTTCCTCTGATTCAACTTGAACTTGCATAGGAACAATTGATGGTCTGTTCCACAGTCGGCCCCTGGCCTTGTTTTGGCTGAAGATATTGAGCATCTCCATTGCCTCTTTCTACTGATGTAGTCAATCCAATTCCTGTGTATTCTATCTGGCAAGGTTTACATATATACTTGCCACTTATGTTGTTGAAAAAGGTATTTTCAATGAGTAAGTCATTGGTCTTGCAAAATTCTATCATGCGATTGCTGGCATCGCTTCTATCACCAAGACCATATTTTCCAACTACAGGGGATTCTTCTTTGTTTCCAACTTTTGCATTCCAATCACCAATCTTGATTGCATGTCTGGTCAATTTCAGACTGCAGAAGTTGGTAAAAATCTTCAATTTCTTCATTTTGGGCTTTAGTGGTTGGTGCATAAATTTGGATAATAGTAGTATTAACTGGTTTTCCTTGTACACATATGGATATTATCCTATCACTGACAGCATTGTACTTCAGCATAGTACATAGAAACATTCTTTTTGAAGATGAATGTGACACCATTCCTCTTAAATTTGTCATTCCTGGCATAGCAGATCATAGGACTATCTGATTCAAAATGGCCAAAACCAGTGCATTTCAGCTCACTAATACCTAGGATAACGATCTTTGTTTTGGTTCTCTAGTGGCACTCTAACAAATATACCACAAATGGATGGCTTTAACAAACAAGGGTTTATTCTCTTACAGTTTTGGAGGCTAGAAGTCCACATTCAAAATCCCAATTCTGGGGGCTGGGTGAAAGCCCCTTGACCTCAGGCTTCAGCTCTTCATCTTGCTCCTGGCCCACTGAAGCTGGAGGCTTCTCTTCACTCAGATAGCTGCTGGCTGCTGAAGCTGACAAACCCAAAGTCAACAAGTAAAATGACACAGTCCCAAAATTATCAAGCAACATGGTAGGCCACTAATTAAAGTCCATTAACAGACTCAAGACCAGCAGCCAACATAGCAGGCCATTGAGATGAAGACTTGGCTACATAAGGCAAGAAAAGGAAGTCAAAGGCATCCAAATTGGTAAGGAAGAAATTAAACTATCCCTATTTGCTGATGATATGATCCTATACCTAGAAAACCCAAGAGACTCAGTCAAAAATCTACTGGAACTAATTGAGAGATTTAGCTCGTGGCGAGATACAAGATCAACATCCAAAAATCAGTTGGATTCCTCTACACCAGCAAAGAGATTGCTGAAAAAGAAATAAGGACATCAATACCATTTATAATAGCTACCAAAAAAATAAAATACTTGGGAATAAATTTTACCAGGGACTCAAAAGACCTCTACAAAAAAACTATAAAAAACTACTTCAAGAAACCATGAGAGAGCTACATAAATGGAAGAACATCCCATTCTCATGGATAGGAAGATT